CATTCCAGGAGCGGGGCTCCCGAGAGGCCCTCCCCCCAAGGAAGGCCGGAAGGTGGGGGGGCGGACAGACAGCAGCTCTGTGTGCCAGGTGGCCGGGACAGGGCAGAGGCAGCTGCTCTAGGGAGGAGAGGGTTAACGCCCAGGACGCCTTGGACTAGACCAGGAACTGGGTGGTGGCCCCAGCAGTGGCGGGGAGCAGTGACGCCTTCTGTGCAGGAGGCTGATTGGCCTCCACCTCCTGGGCCAGGAAGCAGCCCGCCGCCCACAGGTGTTCCTGCCCCGCCCGCCCCTGGCCCACCCCAGGGAGGCCCGCCGCTGGGGGAGAGCTCACTGCGCTGCCAGGGGCTGCGTGCCACGCGAAGATGGTCCTGAAAGCCGAAGAGGAGGGTGGTGAGTCGTCCTGGCCCGAGCGGAGCAGAGCGGGTTTCGGTATCGCTTTCCATCATACGTGAGACCTGGCCGGCAGGGCCGCTGCCTCCGGGAGTGGGGCGTGGCACCAGGCTGCTGTGCACTGCTCCCGGAGAGGCTGTGTGTGTGTGTGTGTGTGTGTGTGTTTGTTTAAATCGAGCTCCCCCCACCCCCTGGCATTTGCCTGGTGCTCCTGGGGAGCGGGCTCGGACTTGGTGACTGTGCCCAACTTCCTGCGTCTGAGGGGCAGTCCTCAGAGCTGGGGTAGTCACACCCAACTCCAGAGAGAGTGACACCGAAAAGTGTCGCATTAGGGACAGCGGAGGCACCGAGGGCTTGGGGTACAGTAGGCCGGCTTCCTTGGGCCGCAGGGAGCACGGGGACCTGCAGAGCGAGGCCCCTCCCCATGGCTGGAGGAAGACAGCCCTTTGCCGCCCCCCGCCCCCCGCCGGCAGTGAGTCAGGGTGACCGGCCTTGCGCTCAGCGTCTGGAGGCCCCGCAGACGCGCCGTCTACAGCACAGGCCAGGCCTCGGGGCTCGGGCCGTGTATGCACGTGTGTGGACACGTGTGCGTGTTTCCGTGGGCAGCAGTGATGCCACAGCACACGAGTGGGGCCGGCCGGGAGCTAATGGGGATGGATGTGAGGGAGCTAGTAGGTAACGAGTGAGTGTGAACTAACCATTGGGCTGCATTTCAGAGGGCTTTGAGAAGGTTATAGTCAGCTTTGGGTCCTCGCTCTGCTTTTCCTTCTCTGTGAGCTGTACCACGTGGTAAAGTCACCTCTCGGTGGTCTGGGACACAGCTGGTGCCTTGGGGAACTGTGCCATTTGGGGGAGAGGGAAATAGTGGAGGCTGAACAGGCCCGGGGCAGGCCTTGTGTCTGAAGGGGCCCACAGTAGCCACGGCCTGTGGTTTAAGGGCGCCACATGGGAGTGGGAGAGGGCAGCACATGGCGTGACCTGGTGCTGGGACAGCAGGGACAGGCCTGCGCCCGGGAGGTGTGAGCAGGCGCGTGGCGGCCCGCGCACAGGTCTGCTGCCTGTCGGGGGCGCCGCTTCCAGGCCAGGCCCCAAGAGCAGAGCTAACTGGGTGCACTGACAGGCACCTTGGCTCCCGTGGGTGGCCCTTCCCAGGTGGGCATCAGTGTCGGTGTGGAGACAGGTGTGGATGTGGGGAGCTGAGCAGCGGCCTCCCGCTCCCATGCAGACCCACCCCTGCATGGCAGGCTGGCCTTGCCGTCCTCCCTGGAGTGCTTGCCCACTTCGGTGTCCCCCGGTGCGTCTGGGTGAGGGCTGCCCACCCACGCATCAGGCGCTGTGTCCTCGCTGCCCGGTCAGCATCAGCTGCTCATTCTCATCTTTTTAAAAAAATATTTTTTCCTCTTGGACATGGACTTGGCAGGTCATCTGACTGTTGCCTACACTGACTGATCTTGTTAACAGAAGCTGTTGATCCACATTGGACTTCTTTTGGTTCTCTAGTGCACATGTGTCAAACACAAGGCCCGCGGGCCAAATCCGTCCCGCCAGGCCTTGCAATGTGGCCCGCACCGCGCTGTCATCACTGCACTCCGCTGCGTTTCCATCACAATGACAGTTTATGACTGTTCAGTAAACCATTCGGCCCGCGATTTAGGCTGGATTTTAGATTTTGGCCCCTTCTCTGATTGAGTTCGACACCCCTACTCTAGTGTTACCAGTTGTTAACTATGGCCCCTTCCTCCACGCTCTGGGGGTGACCAAGTATTATTCCTGCCTCCCCACCCCCTGTTCTCTTTATCTTTTTGTAAACAGAGAATTGAAATTAAAAAGTTGTTTCACAAAAGAAAAAAAAAATTGAGTTTTTACAGAGAAGAAGGAAGAGGGAGAGTTAGAAACATCTATCAGCTGCCTCCTCCACGCCCCCCCACTGGGGATGTACCCGCAACCAAGATACATGCCCTTAACTGGAATCCAACCTGGGGCCCTTCAGTCCATAGGCCGATGCTCTATCCACTGAGCCAAACTGGCCAGGGCCATTCTCACCTTTTCAGTGCTTGGGCCCCCGATTGGCCTTGAACCGTCCCCGAGGGTGGAGCCCAGCCCCTTGCTGTGTGGGCAGAAGGAGCTCACCGGCCTCGCTAGGTTCTCTCCCGGCTGTCCGGTCCCCATGTGCGGGACCCTGACCCGACCCAGGGCCAGCCGCCCCGGCCTCCTCGCCTCACTTGGCCTCCGCTGCTCCCTTTGGGGGTCTGCTCGCCCTCCCAGTCCTGGCCAGAGGTTCGACCTCTGGGCGTGCGCGGGAGCTCCGGGCAGTGTGTGCTGCAGCTGGGCTCCGCCCCGCCCCGCGGCCTGTGCTGCCCATGTGGCAGGGCCTGAGCTGGGGAGTCTGGCCCGAGCTCAGTAGGGCCCGTGCAGATGCTCAGCCAGGGCTGACTGCGGGTCCGACTGTAACCGTGAGAGAAGGCGGAGCTGAGGCTCCGCAGGGCCGAGGAGGACTGGCTCCGCTGGCTGGCCTGCGGCAGGCTGCCCGTGCCCATGGCTGGGCTGGGCTGGAACGTCCTAGTGAGAACGGGAGGGCATACCCTGACGCTGGAAGCCGCCCTGCGGTGAGAGGGGGTCTGTGTGCAGGAAGCTGTTCCAGGTGGAACTGAAAGCCGCACCTGCGCGAGGACCCCGGCTCTGGGGCGTCTGCAGCACTGCCCCCTGCTGCCCCGCCACCTCCCATCCGTCCTGGTCCTGGTCCTGATCCTGCAGCCTCACGCCGGACAGGCTGCTGAGGCCGAGCGGGCCCGGGAGGGAAAGCCAGGTGCAGTGGCTCTGAGTGCACGCTCCCAGGGAGCGCTCCCAGTGTCCTCGTGGGTTGCGTTGCTTTATATTTTGCAGAGTCAGAAACAGTTGGGTCTTTATTTTTAAGCAGGAGCGCTTGGTGCAGAAGCACCTGGTGCCGCAGCTCAGCGCCACCATCTGCTGGGCAGGTTTTAAGGGGGACGACTCTGGTCTTCTCGGCTCTCAGTGGCACCCACCGCCCAACGCCGTGGTGCTGGGCAGGGGCAGGCCGCCGCCTTCTTGTGAAGAGGAAGCAGAGAGGGGCGTGGGTTCAGCCCCTCTGAGGAGGTGGCGTTGTCCTGGGCTGGGCGGGCAGGGGGGCAGGCCGGCCCGAGGCAGGTGGGATGGGGAGGCGGCAGGTGCGCATGTCTAAGGAGCCAGCTTTCGGAGACAAAAGCAGGCATGGGGGCGTGGGCAGGCACAGGCCTGGGCCATCAGCCCTGCCAGCCTGCAGAGTGGTCAGCTGAGGCGGGCCAGGCAGGTCCGCAGTCCGGGTGGGAGGCGTCCAGACCAGGACACGGGAGTCGTGCTGGCTGCCGTGGCCCCTGGCTGTGGCTCTGGAAGGTGCGTGGAAGCGTGTGCGGTGTCGCTGATGGAGCCTGCTGCCCCGTGCTGCTGGTGACATCAGGGTGGGGCTAGACCTGGGTCTCCCGGTGTCCACTCCTCACTTCGCCTCCAGGCAACTTTGTGGACGGTACCTGCTCACGGAGGCGCCCCTGAAGGGGAGACTGGCCTCTGGAAGGGCTGCAGCTTGTGGGACCCTGCTGGGGAGGCACTCAGGGCCAGTGACTTGGTGTGGCCCGTCGCTGGGCCCCCCGAGGGACACCGGAGCCACACCGTGAAGACAGATGGTCTCTCCTGAGCGCGTGCGCGTTGGGTGCACGGACCCGGCCCCGTGCTCGGTCAGGTGCTGAGGCCCAGGCTCGCCCGGCACCCTCCTCCTTCTAGGAGCGCCTTGGCGTACGTGCTCTTCCTCACTCCACAGAGAACCACGCAGGCCTGGCCTCTGACCCCGCGACCAGCACCTGGTCTGCGCCCCCTCTGGCACCTGAGCCCCGTGCTCCCTGTAAGGACCTCGCGGCAGCTGGGGACCCCTCTTTGGAGACAGACGGGGTCAGTGGCTGGTGCCATCCCTATTTTCTGAACGGAAATGCCACCGCAGAGGTTTACCTGGTTTGTGGATCCAACACGGTGGGGACGATGGCGCTGGCCCCACCCAGTGGGAAATCCCCGAGTAACTCCCGGGGTCCCACACTGTGCGTGGTAACCCTCGTCACCTCACCACCACGCTCTCAGCTGTCGTCAGGGGTCTTGTCCCTGGCCATGGTCCAGGGTTTTCCCGGGTCACACTGGACCAGACGTGGCGGCCTCTGGTCGGGACACAGAGCCGTTGCCGGGTGTGGAGACGCCAGCACAGCGGGCGGCGGAGGCCCTTTCGGAGGAAGGCCGGAGCGTCCGTGGGCAGTGGGGCCTGAGCCCTCAGAGCCGGGCGGGGGGACTGACCGCCTGCTGCCCAGTCTCCGGCCTGTTGACGCTGAGCAGAGCACGGAGGGCCTTGTGCCGAGGGGTGTCGGACAGCCTGCTCTCCGGATGTCCACTCGGAGGAGGAGGCCCTCAGCAAGGGTTAACGTCTCCGGATGCGGCCGGCAGGGTCTGCTTCCCGGGAGAGGAGCCAGGCGGCCTGGGAGCAGTGCGGCGGTGCGCCCCTCCCCCGCCGGCGCGGGGCGAGCGGGCCTGAGGAGGGGCGGCCATACTGCTCATGGAAATGAGCCTGCGAGGAGCGGAGTGCCAGCGGCTGCAGCCCGCACCACGCCATCTCCATCTCCATCTCCATCTCCGCCCCGCGCCTCCCGCGGCCCGGCTCCCTTTGCTCGGCTTCCGCGCAGCTTTTGTTCCCTCCGCCGCCTCCACCCTGGCTGAGCTGGCACACATGCCGTGCCGCTCCCTCACTCCCTCCGCTGGGCGCCGCCGCGGGAGCGCCCAGAAGCCCGGGGCTGCGGGGCCGCGGGGCCGGCCCACCATGGGCTCTGAAGGCGACAGCTGTGACCGGCCCCGGCTCTGACTCGCTGCCCTGAGCTGCCGGGCCGCTGGGGCCGCAGGAGAGGACTGGCCAAGGGTAAGAGGTGGCTGGGTGGCCGGGCCCATGGTGTGGGCATCCTGTGCAGCGTGGGCACCCCACTCTCGACCTGCCGCCCAGCAGCTGGGAGCTTCCTGAGCAGGGCCCCGCCCGGCTGCCGGTTCGGCAACCAGCTCCTTCCGAGAGAGGTACAGGCACTCGGGTGGTCCTTCCAGGCTGAGGTGGGAGAACAGCTGCTACCCAGGGTCTGGGGTCCGGCTCAGTGAGGTTAGGACGCCCGGGGGCACGCGGAGGGGTCTCCCTCGCTCAGCTGCTGCAGGCGTTGGTTGTGGTGGAAGGACTCGGACCTGCAGGGTGGAGAGCCTCCTGCTGCAGTGGGGAAGGAGCGGGCATCGGGTTTGGTCCTGGGTCCCTTCCCTTCCGGCCCCTGTGCAGAGGAGCAGGCCCAGAGGGCCAGCAGGCAGCTGAGCTCCAGGAGCGGGGAGGCCAGGGGCTGACGCCTGACCCCGAGCCTCTGTTCTGGGCGTGGAGGCTGCGCCGTGTGAAGGTGATGGCAGCGGGCACGGGCCTGCAGGCCTGGAGGAAGGGCGCGCACAGGGTTAGGTTTGGGGGCTGGGAACTCAGGGCTTTCTGAGAGCCAAGCCCAGGAGCCCCGGAGGCAGAGGCAGAGCAGTCCTGTGGAGCTGGCCCTCCCGGAGGAGCGTGGGAGCAGGGAAGGCGCAGCAGAGCACTGGGGGGGGGGGTTGGGAGGGCCGGGTGAGGAGGTGAGGGTCTCCGCAGGCTGCTTCCTTGTTTGCTCTAGGGAAGCAGGTGTGAGCTTTGTTTTAAACCACACTTTTGGGGTAACGTTTTATGACATAGTTTTCTTCACTGTCTTAAATCTGACCTCCTTTCCCGTTGGTTGGCCTCTAGCACTTATCACCCCTTTTCTGCGGTAGGTGAGGGTAAGGTGCCCGCTCCTGGGAACAGCGACGGGGGCAGGGCTGGCTCAGGCCTTGCGTGCTAGGGAAGCAGGCGAGCGGGTGTGCGGGCAGACCCCAAGGTCACGGGCTGACTAGGGCCAGGGACCATGTGCAAGGTCCCCCTCTCCCCCGGCTCTCGGCTGGTGCTTGCACTTGGGAAAGTCTCCTCACCGACGCTGACGATGAGCCCGCCCGTGCTTCCTGCGGGAGCGGGCTGTTCGGGAGGAACGTTCACCAGGAGAGGCTGACCGTGCTGAGTGACCGGCAGTGCCCCCAACTCCCCCGGCCCTGCCCTGGCGCGGGCACATGCTTCCAGCCTCTGGGCCGTGGAGTGGGGTGAGACCGTGCTTTCACCTTCTACACAGACATCAGTGCAGGTTCTTGAGGGGAACTGAGGCGAACAGAAATCAGGAAGTCAGGATGGCGCTGCTTAATTGTGTTTGTTTTTAATTATAAACTGCGTGTAACATAAAATACGCCTCTTTTAGGGTCCAGGTCAGCCGTGTTAAATACACTGCATTACTGTCCAGTACGTTACGGTATTGCCAGAACTTTTTTATCTTATGAAATTGAAACTCCGTCCCCCTTAAGCAGTGCCCGTCCCCTCCCCCAGCCCTGGCCCACTGTCCTCTCGCTGACTGGACATGACCGCTCTGGTCCCGGTGAGGTGCTGACTTCCCTCAGCCCACCATGGTCGCAGGGCCTGACTCCGTCCCCATTGGTGGAGTCCTGAGAAGGTGGCTGAGCCTCTGACTTAGGAGGAAGCAGTGATGGTTTCTCAGAGGCGGCACGCTGTCCTGCACCAGCACAGGTTTGGGGTGCGGTCACATCCCTTTGCTATCCCCCCCGCCCCCCAGCTCTCCAGGCCTGTCCCTGAACCCCAGGCTCCCCAGAGTCGTCAGCCTTTGTGTTTCGGACCCTGTTGCCTTCTGCCGGGAGAGGCTCTGAGGCCTGGTTGCGTTCTGTCTGGAGCTCCGACCCCACACGCATGTCTAATGCCATTGGGAACCCAGTTTTTAAGAAGTTTGTTGAACATTTGTATGTTTTCAGCCTGAGTTCTTTCTAATCCTTTGACTTTTCTCATTGTTAGTCCCTGGGAGTTCCCTGGAGGCGAGGTGACTTACCCACAGGGCGGGGTGGGGTGAGGTGATGTGGCAGTGGCCTCGGCTGGAGGTCAGAGTGCCGAGCCGGGACCAGCACTCCCCAGGCTGGACTTCTGTGTCCGCAGGCACTTGGATCTTCCAGTCTGCGGTGGAGGGTGGGGGGTTCCCCCTGGACAGTCCCCACATTTCCCCTCTTGACCAGAGCTGATTTTAAATGGTCATTGCCCCTCCAAGCAGAGGCCCTGGGAGAGCATAGTGCTGGCGAGCAGGGTTCTAAGCTGGGCTGAGTCCTCAGTCTCATCAGATGCAGCCCTGCAAGGGGCAGGTGGGCAGGGCGCAGTGTGTGGGCAGGTGGGCAGGGCGCAGTGTGTGGGCAGGTGGGCAGGGTGCAGTGTGTGGGCAGGTGGGCAGGGTGCAGTGTGTGGGGCAGGTGGACAGGGCACAGTGTGTGGGCAGGGCGCAGTGTGTGGGCAGGTGGGCAGTGCAGTGTGTGGGCAGGTGGACAGGGCGCAGTGTGTGGGCAGGGCGCAGTGTGTGGGCAGGTGGGCAGTGCAGTGTGTGGGCAGGGCACAGTGTGGGCAGGTGGGCAGTGCAGTGTGTGGGCAGGTGGACAGGGCGCAGTGTGTGGGCAGGGCGCAGTGTGTGGGCAGGTGGGCAGTGCAGTATGTGGGCAAGTGGGCAGGGTGCAGTGTGTGGGCAGGTGGGCAGGGTGCAGTGTGTGGGCAGGGCGCAGTGTGTGGGCAGGCCATGCCTCCTGGGCTGGGGGAAGCAGAGCAGGTGGTCCCTCCCCTGGGGAAAGGTGAGGCTTTCGGGGCTCACGGCCTCTCTGCTCACAGCGTGTCCCCCTGCGCTGGGTGCAGTGTGGACTCTCCATGGGAGCGGGCTCTGAGATGTGTGACGGGACGTTGGATGGTCGTGGCAGAAAGAAGGCCACTGTGTCTTTCCAAGCCGCAGAGGCCTCGTGTGGCGCTGACCTCAGTGCTGTCTCGGACTCTGGCTCAGGCCCCTGGGACGGAGGACAGACAGAGTGGCCCGTGCTCCGCTGAGCAGAAACTGCCGTCAGAAGACCCTCGTTTGCATTTGCATTTGCATGTGAACTTCCTGCGGGTCTCTGGGCACCTGCTGTGGCCTGAGCAGGGAGAGTGGGCAGGAGCCTGGCTTGGCAGCATGAGCTGCACTGTTCCCGGGCCACCAGCTGCAGGAGGCCTGTCCCTTTAAGACATCTCCTTTGTATGCATGGCGTGGGGCACATTTCAGCTCTGGGTTTCTGCCACCGGTGAAATCTGCAGAGCAGCATTTAAATAAAGGAGGAAGAGAAGCTTCCTTGTATGGTTTCTATTCACAGCGGAACACATGGCCCTTGTTGTGGGCCTCCATCGTCCTCATTAAGTCGGAACCCTGCGAGGGGGGCCAGGCTGGCCGAGGAGAGCAGGCACCTTGTAAATGGGCCGCGGGCATGCGCCGAGCCGCCCGGCCCTGCTCCCCGTCCCCGGCGCGCTGCTGCCCACGTCGCCGCTCTCTCCAAGAGGAGCGGGCTCGGCGCCTTCTGCCGGCGCGGGGCTGCCCACGTGGCGCCGGGGGAGCAGGGCCCGGCAGCCGGCCTCTGCGGCTTAGCCCTCGTGGCCGTGCGGGAAAGCCGTGGCGTGGGCGGATGCACTTCCTGGGTCCGAGGCGGGGTGGTACCCTGTCCCGCTGTGGCTCCAGGCTCACTCCCACCCTGAGCCAGAGCCGGAAACCGGGCGGCACTGCCGGGGGGTCTTCCCCCTGGGCTTGTGAGAGGGAAGAGTTGATGTTGCATCGATATGTTTGCGCAGAGGAAACACATGGGTAAAATGGTAGATTTTGTTCTCATTGCAAAGTTCCAGCAGAAAAATGAGATCTTTTTAAAAAGCTTTCAGGCCGAAGCCAGTTTGGCTCAGTGGATAGAGCGTCGGCTTGGGGACTGAAAGGTCCCGGGTTCGATTCCGGTCAAGGGCATGTACCTTGGTTGCGGGCACGTCCCCAGTAGGGGGTGTGCAAGAGGCAGCTGATCGATGACTCTCTCTCATCGATGTTTCTAACTCTCTGTCTCTCTCCCCTCCTCTCTGTATAAAATCAATAAAAGATATATTAAAAAAATAAAAATAAAAATAAAAAAAACAAAAAAAAACTCCATTCATCTAAAAATAAATAAATAAATAAGTAAAATTTTAAAAAAAGCTTTCAGGACCCAAAGGCGGCAGCGCTGGTGGAGGGGACTGAGTCGGGGAGAAGATTCACGGTGTGAGGTGGAGGGAAGTGAGGCGCTGTCTGTCACTCCTGAAGGCACGGCGGGAAGCCTTTCTGTTGACCACCGCACGCTCCGCCACTGCCTGCACCACCTTCACGGCTCGCTTTCTGTTACCGGGCATGCTCCTGGAGTGCCTTCCTTCCAGGACTCCTCCCTCCCCCTCCCTCCCTCCCTCCCTCCTTCCCTTCCTCCCTCCCTTTCTCCCTTCCTCCCTCCCTCTCTCCCGGGAGCGCCACTGGTGCTGATCCGGTGGGCTGCCAGGCTTCCTCTCTCCTTTTTAACAGAACTTTGTGCTTATTGTTTATTTTTTTATTTTTTATATTTTATTGATTTTGTACAGAGAGGAAGGGAGAGAGATACAGAATTGAGAGATACAGAGTTAGACATCGATGAGAGAGAGTCATCGATCAGCTGCCTCTTGCACACTGGGGATGTGCCCGCAACCAAGGTACATGCCCTTGACCGGAATCGAACCCGCGACCTTTCAGTCCCCAAGCCGATGCTCTACCACTGAGCCAAACCGGTCTCGGCTGCTTATTGGTTTTCAGAGAGAAATGGAGAGTGATGGGAGAGGGTGAGAGCTAGAAACACCAGTGATGAGAGAGATTCATGGACTGACTGCCTTCTGCACGCCCCCAACTGGGGTTGGAGCCCACAACCCAGGCCTGTGCCCGGACTGGGAGTTGAACCAGCGACCTCTTGGTCCCTGGGTCGACGCTCAACCCCTGAGCCACGCTGGCCAGGCCGGACTTAATGTTCCTACCTCACTGACCCGTCCAAGTCAGAGACCACCTCCCGACGCCCTTCTCCTCCTGCTCTTCCTCCCCTCGCTGCACACTTCCAGTTTATCACCCTGTCCGCTTCCTTTGTTTCCTCTGGAACTCCATCCCCACGGCTGCAGCCCGGATTTCCTGTCTGATCTGGCCTCCCGAAGAAGCCACGGGGCCTCCCTGCCCTCGCACTGTGCCCGCCGGCTCACGCCTCTGTCTGCTCCTCCCCTTTGACGTGCTCCCGGGCCGTGGCCTCCCTTGTGTTCTGTAAGCCCCTCGCCCACAGGCCGTGACCACGGGGGACACGTAAGTTACTTTGTGCACAGCCCACGACAAGGTCACAGCACTGCCCGCCAGGAGCCACACTCTACGCCGAGCTCCCTCTCCCGGGAGCTGCCCCTCCTGGCTCCCACCGCCGCTCCAGGGCCTGCAGTTCCGAGTTTTCCTGTTTCCCGGCAGCGGGTGCTCTGCGGCTCGCGGCCTCCGTTGTAATGTTGGGGAGACGCCCTGGGAACTGACTCGTTGCCCCGGTGGCCTGTAGCATCCTGGGTTTTGGCACGCCGCCGGTTTCGGTCCCTCGGCCTCGTCTTTTCGTTCTGCTGAGAGAGGACCGCGTGGTGCCTCTCGGTCAGATCCGCAGTGCTCCCCGCACCTCATCCCGTCATCCCGTCATCCCGTCCGGCGGCGGCATGGCTGCCTGTGTGACCGCCCACCCGTGCGCCTGTGTCCTCCTCGGGGCTGGGGACATCCCCGTGCTGTGGACACAGCCTCTTCCTGGGTTCTCGGGGCTCACCTTTTCCGAGCCCTCGTGGGTCTGCTTTTCCTCCTGCTTGCTGAGGAGTGGTTCTGGGGTCAGTGGTTTTGGCTAGAACTATGGAAGCCGCCTCCTTCCACCCCCCACCCCCACCCGCACCCTGTCCCCCAGCTGCCCCCAGCCAGGTGGGCCTTCCCCCCTCCTCAGGGAGGCTCCACGGCACCAGTTCCCACGCTTGCTGCTTGCGCCTAGTGGGTCCAGCTCTTTGGGTTTTGCCTGGGAATGAATCCTGGGCACAGAAAGCCACTGCTGGGACGATGAGACGGGGTGTCAAGGGGCACTTGGAAATCACTGCTCTGGAGCAGCACACTGTAGCAACAGCATTTGACACCACTTGGATTTCACGTCTAAGTGGCTGGAAACAGCTTTCTCACGTGCCTTCCTCCCCTCTTCCCCCGGCAGTGCCCAGCGACCTGACCGCCGAGGAGCGGCAGGAGCTGGAGAACATCCGGCGCCGCAAGCAGGAGCTGCTGGCGGACATCCAGGTAGGCGTGGCCGTGGGGCGGGGGTGTCCCCGCAGCGTCCCCCACTCACAGTGCCGGCAGAGTGTGGGTGTGGGGAGTCGTTGTGTGGCAGGTGGGACAGGGCTCAGGTGAGGGGTCGGGCTCCGCAGTGGACTGCGTCCAGCCTGGCGCTGGCGCCTCCTGGGTGAGTGTCTTCCGTGCCAGCGTGTCGGTCCCTCAAACTCAGTTTCTTCGTCTGTAAGTCCCACGGGATGACTCCTGCGGACAGGTGGGCGCTGAGCTCCTGTTGTGTAGGGCCAGCGCAGCTGCTGGTCCCCGAGTCAGCAGCAGCCCCTGGCCCCGCCGTCCCTCAGCCCCGGGGTCATCAGCCCCAGGTCCGAGCAGTGGTGCTCTTGGCCCCTAGGCAGAGCCACCCTTGGCTGTCGGGCAGCCACGCGCAGGTGGCAGTACTGGGCAGCTGGGCGGCGGGAGGGGTGCAGAGCGCAGACTGCTGCTCGGTGCTGGTCAGTGTCCTGGTCGCTGCCCTCTCTGATGCCCGTTCCCCGCTGAGGCCAGGAGAGCCTTGCCCCGTGCTGACCCCCTGGGTGTGCTGCTCATCTGTGCGAGCAGCGGGAGCAGAGCCGGGGCCGGGGGGTGGCGGGGGCTGCCTTCCGTTTGCTGGGTGGTGCCCGGTTGGCCCCTGAGCCCCGGCCTCGGTCCCATGGAGAGGCGGCTGCTGCGTGCTCGGTTTGCGGGCAGCTGGGGGCGGGCAGCGTCTCCAGAGGCCCGTGTCCGGGCTGGCTGGCTTCGCGTGGCTTTAGCAGCTCTTCGCTGGGCGGGAGGATGCGTGACGGGCTGTGTGTCTTGCAGAGGCTGAAGGATGAGATAGCGGAAGTGGCCAATGAAATTGAAAACCTGGGCTCCACAGAGGAGAGGTGAGTGTGCCCACGGTGGCAGGTGGCGCGGCTTCCTGTGCACACACACCCCGGCCATTGCCGCGCAGGTCCTGTGCAGTGTGGGCCGCCTCCCTCCGTGCCCCGGAGGAGGCGAGGGCCAGGGCGCTCGCAGGCTGGCTGGAGAACTGGCCGTCCCCACCCTTTGTGCCCGCGCTCCCGCAGACCCCTCAGAGCCCGCTCACGGCGAGCGCTGGAGGCACGGTGGTCTCGCAGACCCTCGAGGGGCCGGCGCTGACGTGGCTGCCGGGTTGTTTTACAGGAAGAACATGCAGAGGAACAAGCAGGTGGCCATGGGCAGGAAGAAATTTAACATGGACCCTAAGAAGGTAAGAGAAGGATGCTCGGAGCCCCAGGCTCTCGGGTACTGGTTCCGCTCACCGCCGTGGTAGGCTCAGCCACGAGGCGGCCCTGTGCTGCCAGCAGCACTGTTCGTCATACATTCCCCCGCACCCAGGCCCCACACCCCTTGTCCCGTGCCCTCCGGCTTCCTTTCTAGATGTTTCTGGGTGAGCATCACCGTGTCTTCATTGCGCTTTCAGGGGATCCAGTTCTTGATAGAGAACGACCTGCTGAAGAACACCTGTGAGGACATCGCCCAGTTCTTGTATAAGGGCGAGGGGCTCAACAAGACAGCCATCGGGGACTACCTGGGGGAGAGGTGAGCCCGGGCAGCGAAGGAGAGCCGGAGGCCGAGCCCTAGAAGGCTCAGGATGCTGGCTTCTCTTTTTACGTGTTGCTTTATTATTGATCTTAGAGAGGGGCAGGGAGAGGGAGAGGTAGGAACATCGATAAGAGAGACGTCCATCGGCTGCCTCCTGCACACCCCTGGCTGGGGAGGGAGCCCCCAACCTGGGCAGGTGCCTGACCTGGAATCTAACCCTGACCTCTTGGTTCATGGGTTGACTCTCAACCACTGAGCCACACTGGCCGGCTGAGAATGTTGGGCTCTTGGTTGGCAGCACCTCACGGGCCGAGGGGCATGGTCCTGGGGCAGCAGCTGGTGTGCCGCGGTGTGAGGGCACCTCGTCCGCTCTGCAGGGGACGGTGCCCCCTCCCTGGGCCCATAGGAGGCAGAGCTCAGGGGCGTGGAGACTTTCCGGCTGGGAGGGGGGATGGACGCCCTTGGACTCCAGGGTCTAATGCCTGCCTTCCCCACTCCCATTCCCCCAACCCCGTATCTTGTTTTTCTTGATAGAGACGAGTTTAACATCCAGGTTCTCCACGCGTTTGTGGGCTTACACGAGTTTACCGACCTAAACCTGGTCCAGGCGCTGCGGTGAGTGCAGGCGAGCGACACCTGAGCGGGGCCAGGTCCCAGCTCCTCCCTCCCAGGGGGCACTGCCTCCCATGGGGCTCTGGGGTATGGCACTGTTTCCCAGGGGGCTCTGCGGGGGCTCTGCCTCCCAGGGGGCTCTGCGGGAGCTCTGCCTCCCAGGGGGCTCTGCGGGGGAGGCACTGTTTCCCAGGGGGCTCTGCGGGGGAGGCACTGCCTCCCAGGGGGCTCTGCGGGGGAGGCACTGCCTCCCAGGGGGCTCTGCGGGGATGGCACTGCCTCCCAGGGGGCTCTGCAGGGATGGCACTGCCTCCCAGGGGGCTCTGGGGATGGCTCTGCCTCCCATGGGGCTCTGCAGGGGAGGCACTGTTTCCCAGGGGGCTCTGCGGGGGCTCTGCCTCCCAGGGGGCTGCGGGGCTCTGCCCAGGGGGCTCTGCGGGGAGCACTCCCAGGGGGCTCTGCGGGGGAGGCACTGCCTCCCAGGGGGCTCTGGGGATGGCACTGCCTCCCAGGGGGCTCTGGGGATGGCACTGCCTCCCAGGGGGCTCTGCGGGGGCACTGCCTCCCAGGGGGCTCTGGGGATGGCACTGCCCCCCAGGGGGCGCTGGGGATGGCACTGCCTCCCAGGGGGCTCTGCGGGGGCACTGCCTCCCAGGGGGCTCTGCGGGGGCTCTGCCTCCCAGGGGGCTCTGCGGGGGAGGCACTGCCTCCCAGGGGGCTCTGCGGGGGCACTGCCTCCCAGGGGGCTCTGCGGGGGCTCTGCCTCCCAGGGGGCTCTGGGGATGGCTCTGCCTCCCAGGGGGCTCTGGGGGGCTCTGCCTCCCAGGGGGCTCTGCGGGGGCTCTGCCTCCCAGGGGGCTCTGCAGGGATGGCACTGCCTCCCAGGGGGCTCTGCGGGGGCTCTGCCTCCCAGGGGGCTCGGGGGGGAAATGGCAGCGCTGGGTTGTGGGAACCCGGCAGTGCCCTAAAAGAAGTCCTTGTGGTTGGCGATTGGGCCGGTGACTGGACGATGGGGGTGAAAGTGGGGGAACTGCGCTGTGTTCTGAGGGACAAACTTGGCAAACCCTCCCCTCAGGTTCTTCAGGAGGTGGACGTGCATTTAAAACTTGACGTCTTCCCTCTAATTTGTAGTTTAGGAAACACTTTAAATTAGCCCTGGCGTAGGAGGTGGTACCTGTGCACTTCGTTTTAGAAGCAGTGAACGTAGTTTTCACTGGGCCTGCTCATTGTGCTGAGAGGTGACCAGTGTCCTCCCTGCCGCGGGCGTGTGCTTGCCTCCTGGGCTCCCGGGGGGACAGGTCCGCGTGGCCATGGCCTCTGGCTCACGGCCATGGTGAGGCGGGGCGTCTGGCCTGCACCCCGTGCTCCGCAGCCGGGCTCCCTCAGATGAGGCCGGGCCTCTTCTCACAGGAAGCCGGTTTCGCGGCTCCCTGCGCGCCTGCCCGTGCCCGGGACGTGGGGACAGCGCTGGGCGTAGGTGTCCGAGCGGAGTTACTGTCGGGAGCCCAGCCCCAACCCCTGGCCCGGGAGGAGGTCACGGGTGTAAGGTGCCCGCCGCGTGACAGCGCGTCCCCTCGCAGGCAGTTCCTGTGGAGCTTCCGGCTGCCGGGAGAGGCGCAGAAGATCGACCGGATGATGGAGGCGTTCGCCCAGCGCTACTGCCAGTGCAACCCCGGCGTGTTCCAGTCCACGGGTAGGCAGGCGCCTCGCGGCTCCCCGGCTGTGGGCGTTGACCGGGAGAGGGCGGGCGCAGCTGAGTGCGCCGGTGAGGCGTGTTTACAGCAGGAAAAAGCAGGAACCCCAGGGACTCTGCATCGGAGGAGGCGTGTGGATTGTGTCTGAGTTTTGTCACTTAAAGTCATGTTTTGAAAGTTATTGATATAGGGAAATGCTAATGAGATCGGGTACCTCTTTTAATTCCATTTTGGTCACAGCATGGCTCAGTGAGGGAGCAAATAAAACAGGTTCCCGCCAGGTGGGGGATTCTGGGTAACGGATCTTCTCTCGCGTTGCATGGTTTTCCCGATGCTCCGCAGGGTGCCGTCTGTTAAGGTCTGAGAAAGGGGACCCCTTTGAGTCCTGGACACTGTCGCCTGGCCCTCCTGGAGCGGCCCCGCCACCCAGTGCCAGCGGGCCAGGTCCCGGCGTGTCCCGGCCCGCGGCCTTGACGCACCGCACGCCCTGCCCCCCGGTGGGCAGTTCTGAGCGCCTCTCTGCTCCTCTCTAGACACGTGCTACGTACTCTCGTTCGCCATCATCATGCTGAACACCAGCCTGCACAACCCCAACGTCAAGGACAAGCCCACGGTGGAGAGGTTCATCGCCATGAACCGCGGCATCAACGACGGCGGGGACCTGCCCGAGGAGCTGCTGCGGGTGAGTGCGGCCGGCGGGCGAGTCCTCCACCGGGTGCGCGTTCCCTCGGGAGCCGGCGGGAGGCCAGCCGGGGCCAGGGCCAGAGAAGCTAGTGGGACCCGCTGCTTTCTCCTCCCTGGCCGCCCGAGGCGCCGTCTTCTTAGTCTCTGTGCTTCGTGCCCAGAGGAGGGTGGCCACCGAGCAGGGTGCTGTGCGGGGTGGGCACGGGGGCAGGCGTGTCCCAGACCCAGAGGCAGGCAGTGTCGTCTCTCCCAGAACCTCTACGAGAGCATCAAAAACGAGCCCTTCAAAATCCCGGAGGACGACGGCAACGACCTCACGCACACCTTCTTCAACCCGGACCGCGAGGGCTGGCTCCTGAAGCTCGGTGGGTGGACCGGAGCCCGTGAGGGCGCGCACATGCGTGCAGGAGCGTGGGAACACGGGTGGCCGGGAGGCGCTGGGGAGGGCCTTCGGGATGCATTCATTCTGTTGCCACGAGACTTACCTCCAGAAAGGAAGTGGAAGCTGTCAGTGCCCAGGGCACCAGAGTGTGGGCGGGACTTCCTGCTCCGTGAAGCAGCCGCGTGCACTTGCACCCCACCCACCGGTCCTTCCTCCTCCCGCCCCCTCGCTCCCTGGCAGTGCCAGCTGCGTCCATCTCTCCCTCCCATCACACACGTGCTCCCACACCCAGCATCATCATGCTCTGCATCCGGCTCCACGGGCGTGTGCATGGCGACCCCGCAGCACCCCGACCCAGCCACGCTAACGCCCTCCATTCAGAAAACAAGTCACTCCTCCTCCCGTAGCCCCGGGAGCTCGACAGCGGTTGTGCCGGGAAGGGCCGAGTCACCAGGAGGGAGGGGGGCTTCCAGGCTTGTCCCTCGTGATCGTTTCCTCAGTGCGGTCGCTGAGAGTGCTTTGTTCTGCCTCGGCCTTGGCCAGCCCAGGCCCCACATGGTCGGGGCAGTGGTAGCGGGTCCTGCTGCCCATTGCAGCTGCCACCGGGCGGCGGGAAGGTGAAGTCGCTGCTCAGCTGCTGCTGACGCACCGGCGAGGGGGACAGGGCAGGACCCCCTCTTCCCCCGAGAGCACCGCCAAGGCCCGTATTGTGATGCGGCCGTGCGCCCGTAAAGCTGCGGGAGGCTGGGCTCCCGCCGTAGCCAGCGCTCCGTCCACTCCAGCCAGTGTGTCCTTGCGGCTCAGGCTCCCGCTCACCAACCAGAGGCAGCCGCGCTGCTCTGCGTGGGTGGAGGAAGCCTGCTGGGAAGTGAGCAGGCAGCCAGGTCTGCTGTGCGTCTCTCCAGCGAGAAGTGTGGACGCTGACATGTCGTCAGCCAGGCTGGGGTTAGACCGGCAAAGGATCGCCTCGGTGCTTGCACCAGGACACGCAGGTGCATGAGGCCCCATGTTTTTTAAAAAGAAGCTTAAGCATGGTCTCGATCGTTAGGTCCCTGCATTCCGTCCCGAACCTCATCCCCGTCCTGGGGTCTTGACGGGTGTTGGTTCCCAAGGGCGGGTCCAGCCGCCTGGTGTGGTGTGTCAGTATTGCCACGGAACCTGTACTCTCATGTATACACATGCACGCGTGCATTCATGGGTTTGTGCGTGTGCGTTCTCACACACACTAAAAAGTGCCACCAGCTGAAGGAAGTCCCTCCCCTCCCCTCACTGCTGGGGGTGCTGGACCACGGTCTGCGGCTGCTTCGTGAGAGCTGATTGGGGCCCGTGGGGGCCAGGGTTCGGTGGTGCCCGCAGTCCTGCCTTCCCGTGGGGTGACCAGGCAGCGCCCAGTGATGGTTATGTCCGCCCGCCCCCCCTCCCCCCAGCAGTGCTGAATGCCTGTGCAGTGCTCTGAGACTACGGAGGTGGATTCAACTTCTTGGTTTTAATTTTCTTTTCTCCCTCATTTGTATGTTTCCATGATTTTGGCTCTCCTTTTCCTTGCCCCCAACTCCAGGAGGTATGTAACCCCTCGCCCTGCTCGCTCGCTCGCTCTGCCCCGGCGCTGACTGCTCAGCCTGCTGGTGGTGTGACTTTGGTGGTCTGTTCTTAATCGCTGGTGGTAGTGTCAATGCCGCTTCTAACTTCTCGCACAGTCCCTGGGGAACTGGCAGGCCCTGGTCCCGGGGAGGATGGCGCCCGGCGGCCAGCAGGGAGGCGCCAGGTGCAGTAGCTGCCCTGCGGGTGGCAGCGCGAGAAGCCAGGGGACCCCGGCTCCTCCTCGGCTGTGCTGGCGGGATCCTCGCCCCGTGCTGAGAAAGTCTCCTCCACGGGAGCGGGACGTTCTGGCATCCCAGCGCCCGTGCTCCGTCCGCCGGGGCAGAAGGCTGGGGAGGGAACGTATTTCCTAAACGCAGGGCGACGCCCGGTGGGACTGAACGGAGACTGAGCCAGAAACGCCCAGCACCTCCGCTTCACATCCCAGGTGCCGGGGAGGGCATTCCGACCCAGCTCTGTTTTTTATTACTAAGTTACTTTTTAAGTGCATATGTATTGATTTCAGGGAGAGGGGGAGAGAGAGAAACATCAATGATGAGAGAGAATCACTGATGAGCTGCCTCCTGCACGCCCCCCTCACTGGGGATCCAGCCCACAACCCTGGCCTGTGTGCTGACTGGGAATCGAACTGGTGACCTCTTGGTTCATAGGTGACGCTCAGCCACTGAGCCACGCCAGCCAGGCTTGGCTCTGTTTCTGTTCGTCTCCATCCCCTTTCAATGAGGCGTCACTAAACCCCGCAGGCCGGCCTTAGCCGTCAGGGTCCCCTTTGCACTCACTGGTTTGGGGAACGTGGTTCCCCAAGTGAGGGGCTCCCCAACATGGCAGAGCCGCCCGAAGGAAGAGCCACGGACGGCACGTATGGCAGCGTTGGGCTGGCAGGTGCCCATGCCGGGACAGCCGCCTCTGCCTCCCCTCAGGCGGGACCTGAGCTGTGTGGCCGTGAGTTCCACGGGGACTGTCCTCGGTGCGCGCTGCCCTGTCTGCTTGGCCACGTCTGCACCTTCCCGGGGTCTCCCGGGACCAGGCAGCTGCCTGGCGAGTCAGGGGCGGCCCGGCTTTCCCGTCGGGGAGAGCTCTCAGCTTTGCTTTGCTGCTAGACCCCCCTCCCTCTGGCATCGGCCTCCCATGGCCTCCTGAGTCCAAGTCCCCGGGGCCCCGCGCAGGGAGTGCATGGCCATTGGGGGGCAGGTGTCCTGGGTGCTGAGCCCTGTGTGGGGATGGAGGCCCAAGAAGTGGGAGAGCCGAGTTCTTGGACCCCAAAGTGGGGAGGGGTCCTCTTTCTGTCCAGCTAGCTCCGGTTCTAAGTAGACCCACGTCTTCCTTTCCTCACGCCTCCGATCCGCCCAGCCTTCCCATTGCCACGTGCATGTCCCATCTCCATCCATGGCCCCACCTCGCCTCGGGACCAGAGGCACGCGCTCAGTACCTCACCGCTGGGGGAGAGGGCCAGCCTGCCCCCTGGTGCCGGTGGTCAGCCCTCCCCTCCTGGGGCTCAGGCCACGCAGCCTGCCCTGCACAGGGACCTACGCTGCAGGCTCTCCCACGACACCCGCTCGCCCTGCAGGCACCCCCGTGGTGGGACACACTCTCTCAGCCGCCGCCCGCGAGGGGGGGAGAGGCCGGGCGCACTGCCCTCACCCCGTGCGGATTGGGAGGAGGCTCTGCTCTACAGGTGACGTGCAGCCGGCAGAGCTGCGCCACCCGCAGGACGCACTGAGAGCCATGTCACACAGGCTCCGGGTCACTGTAGGCTCAGCAGAGGGCTCTCCCTCGACTTGACCAAAGTGGAGGGAAAGGCTGGGTCGTGGTCGTGACCGAGGCAGAGGCCTTGTCCACACGGCCAGGCCACCTCCCTCCCGGACCACCTTCCCAGGACGGTGGCCACTTGTGCCACTTGTGTGCTTCTCGCTGAGGACAAGGGAGCCCCGCTCCCGGCTGCACTCGGTGCTCAGGAGGCCGCCTGCCTGTTTGCTGAGGCCTCCCCTGAGCACGCCCCTGCTGCCAGGAGCCCCCCGAGGCAGGACTCTGGTCCGGAGGCTGGAGCTGGTTGGGGTTCACGGCCCAGGAGGGTGCGGTCCCCCGTCCAGGACAGCTGGTTCCTCGGCAACGGGATGGAGTGTCCTCCCGTCCCGTCCCCTCCTTGAGGGCTGCATGGCGGACGAGGCGGCCCTCTCCCTTGTGTTGAGAGAAGCTCCCAGCCCAGTCAGATCTGCGCTGCGTGCCCTCTGCCCGCTCCCTCCGCCCGCCTCATCCTCATCGCTGTCCGGCCTCGCCTCGGCGCCACCTGGCTTGCTTGCTGTGCTTGCACCACACACTTGCACTCCGTGAACGGTGCTTCTGTCTGCTGTGTTTGTCACCGCTGTCAGCTTGCCATGGTCTCCGTGTCCCTGGCCCTGCCCTTGCTCCTCCTCGCCTGGAGGGCTGCGAGCTGCGGCCGCCCTGCCCTGCCTCCGTCCCACACACATTTCCTCTTGTTCGCAGGCGGCCGCGTCAAGACCTGGAAACGCCGCTGGTTCATCCTGACCGACAACTGCCTGTACTACTTTGAGTACACGACGGTGAGCTGGAGCCGGCTGTCAGCTGTTTGTCCACCTGTGTGTGTGTCAGCTGTCTGGCTGTGTGTCACCTGTCTGTCCGCCTGTTGTGTGTGTCAGCTGTCTGTCTGGCTGTGTGTGTGTCAGCTGTCTGTCCGGCTGTGTGTGTCAGCTGTCTGGCTGTGTGTGTGTCAGCTGTCTGGCTGGCTGTGTGTCACCTGTCCACCTATGTGTCACCTCTCTGCCTGTGTGTGTGTGTCACCTGTCTGGCCAGCTGTGTGTGTGAAGCTGTGTGGCTGGCTGTGTGTAGGTACATGTGGAATCACCAGCTCCTCTGAGCTTGGCAGCCCAGCAGGAGGGCCAGAGAGGGGGCAATGGGGTTGTTTTGCCCTGGGCAGGAGTTGAGGTGCCTGGTGGGTCCTGGGAGAGTTGTGGAGCGCCCTCTGTTTGAGGTGAGGAGAGGCGGTAATTAGCAGAGAACGCCCTGTGACAGCTGGCCCGCCGGCACTGGGGCTCCTCGGCCAGACGAGGGCCTTTGGGGGAGGCTGACTCGGAACTGAGGCGCTCGCTCAGTAGGGCAGCAGCAGCCTCCTCCTCCAGGGCCAGCCCCGGGCCCGGGCGTGCTCTCTGCTGAGGCCTCTGGTGCTGACTCACAGGCGCTGGGGCTCACGGGCGCTGGGGCTCACGGGCACTGGGCCTCACGGGCACTCACGGGCACTCATGGGCACTCACGGGCACTGGGGCTCAGGTGTGTGCAGAGCCGGCACCCATGGGGTTCTGACCTGTCCTGTGTGAGCATCGATGTGGCCCCGCTGAGGGAGGAGGTCTGGGGGGGTGGGCATGGAGCCCGGCGTCACCCACTGAGCCCAAGCTCCCTCCTCCCCAGGACAAGGAGCCCCGGGGCATCATCCCGCTGGAGAACCTGAGCATCCGGGAGGTGGAGGACTCCAAGAAGCCCGTGAGTGCTTGCCTGGGACGGCGGGGCAGGCGGCAGGCCGGGGTGCGGCTCTTCCCCGCGGAGGTGCAGGGCCCGTGACCGCCGCAGGCCATTCCCGCGCAGCATCACTTAGTGACCGAGTGCCGCTCTGGTTCCAGAACTGCTTCGAGCTGTACATCCCGGACAGCAAGGACCAGGTCATCAAGGCCTGCAAGACGGAGGCGGACGGGCGCGTGGTGGAGGGCAACCACACGGTGTACCGCATCTCCGCCCCGACGCCCGAGGAGAAGGAGGAGTGGGTCAAGCGCATCAGGTAGGCGCCTCGCCGCCCGCTCTCCCGTGCTGCTGGCGCCGGCCCGGGTGCTGGGCCGCAGGCCGCTCTCCCGGGGTCCGGGTCCAGCCCGGGTGCGATGGGGCCGCAGGCCGCTCTCCCGGGGCCCGGGTCCGGCCCGGGTGCTGGGCCGCAGGCCGCTCTCCCGGGGTCCTAGTGCCTCCCCGGGTGCGATGGGGCCGCAGGCCGCTCTCCCGGAGTCCGGGTCCGGGCCGGGTGCGATGGGGCCGCAGGCCGCTCTCCCGGGGTCCGGGTCCGGGCCGGGTGCTGGGCCGCAGGCCGCTCTCCCGGGGTCCTAGTGCCTCCCCGGGTGCGATGGGGCCGCAGGCCGCTCTCCCGGGGCCCGGGTCCGGCCCGGGTGCGATGGGGCCGCAGGCCGCTCTCCTGGGGTCCGGGTCCGGCCCGGGTGCTGGGCCGCAGGCCGCTCTCCCGGGGTCCTAGTGCCTCCCCGGGTGCGATGGGGCCGCAGGCCGCTCTCCCGGGGTCCTAGTGCCTCCCCGGGTGCGATGGGGCCGCAGGCCGCTCTCCCGGGGCCCGGGTCCGGCCCTGGGGGCGGGGCAGGCTCCTGCACAGGTGCAGACTCCGGGCCGCTCGCTCAGGTCCCTGCTGCAGGAGCGGTGCTCACGGGCGGCTTGCCCCCGCTCTGCCTGCGCAGCCTGTGAGGGCGCTGCCTGCCCGCATGCGAGCTGCTGCCGCCCTCCCCTCCGGCGCCCTCCCCTCCAGCGCCTCCCGTCAGCTGTGCCCCGGTGCTCCCCGCGCCTCTCCCTGTGGCGTCCACACTGACTCGAGGCCCGGGGTTGGGCTTTGTTCCACGAGGCCCGCCTGTCCTGAGGGTCTGGCGCTCCACAGTCCTTGCCCTTCTGTGGCATCTCACCAAAGCCAGCGCCATCGGCCAGGCAGGCTGTGAGCAGGCGACACCCTCTAACCTCGGCGGTCCCCGGACACGCTGTGGGCGCTGCCGTTCTGGCGTCCCCAAAGAGCCCTGGGGACATTGCTCATGACGGCATCGCTGGTGAACACCCCGTCCTCGCAGGATCAGGGCAGAGCCGGCGGGCCCGGGCGGGGAGCTGCCCTGGAGCAGGTGGCGCCTGGCCGCCGCGTCCCTAGAAAATGAGCTCAGATCCACGCCTCCCCAAGCATGAACTGCTTGGTGGGCACTCGCACTGCTCCTCCGGCCGGGCCCTGGTTAGGGAGCAGGTAGGGAGGGTAGTGCAGGCACTCAGAAGTGACCCAGGCCCGGCCGGCATGGCTCGGGTTGAGTGTTGACCTATGAACCAGCAGGTCACAGTTCCATTCCTGGTCAGAGCACAGGCCCGGGTCACGGGCTCGATCCCCAGTGCAGGGCGTGCAGGAGGCAGCTGATGGATGATTCCCTCATCACTGATGTCTCTCTCCCTCCCTCTCCGGCGTCAATAAAAACACTTAAATGGATGCAGGCAGACTGGCCGCCCTCCGTGCAGCTGGGCTGGCTGGGCGCGGGTGTCACTGCCCTGACGGGGCCGTCATGGGACTGAAGCACAGGCCTGTCTCCCCGAGTTAGACCACAGCCGAGAGAATGCCCCTCGGCTCGTCGCCTGCACAGGTGTCTCCCCTCGGCCGGCGGGCGGACACGGCGGCGGGCGGCACAGCGGGCCGCTGCGGGCCTGGACAGGCAGGGCGCAGGCACAGCGGTCCTCGCCCTTCCTCAGCCTCCCCACTCCCTTCTGTTCCAGGGCAGCCATCAGCAGGGACCCCTTCTACGAGATGCTGGCCACGCGGAAGAAGAAGGTGTCCTCTACCAAGAGACACTGAGCGCGGCCCTGCCTCCTGCCGGCTCCGCCGTCGGTTCAGTGGAGCCGGCAGGCGGCGCTCGGGCGAAGGGAGCTCCGTCAGAGCCGCGGTCTCCGCTCAGCGCCGCGGCCGCGGCCGGGGACAGTGCCGCTCGGTCTCCCGGGAGGAAGCTCCGGCCCACCCAGGACCCGTGCTCCCAGAGGGTCCCGTCGGGAAAGCGCATGGAAGAGAAGCCACGTCCTATGAAGATATATTTTTATTTTGTTTTCTTAAAGAGGAAGACGAAGCAGAGTGTGCATCCCGCCCGTTGGCAGGCGGCCTCTCCCCGGGCAGCTGCCAAGGGCGTGGGCCCTGGGCCGGCGGCAGAGGAGCGGTGGGGACCTGACCCTGGCACACTGCGGGCGGCGTGTCCCGGGCGCCAGACCCTCGTGCTGCTCGGCTCGGCATCCACGCCCGCAGGGCTTTAGGGTGGAAAGCGTGTGTCTGCGCCAAACGCCTAATAACAGGACTGCGGTGGCCGCGGAGCCCGGCGCCGGAGGTCCCGTGTGGCTCTGCTCCCCGGGAGGGCGGCCTCCCCTCCCGGCTGCACTTCCTGCGCACCCTCCCGGGCACGGCCCCGTCAGCCCGCGGCGGGAGCCGGGTGCAGCGGCTGTGCCGTGGCTTCGCTGTCCTCTGGCGGGGCGGGTCGCCCTCCGCCTGTGGAGGGCCTGGCCCTGCTTCTCTCAGGGACTGGCTCCTGTCGCCGCAGCCGGACAGGAGGGCCCGCATCTCTGCAAACAGCTTTCGAAAGGGCAGGCGGGAGGTGGGGTCTGCCCTCCCCGCTCCCCCCGGACAGGGCCTCCCTGGAGTGGCTTCTGCGCTTTTACGCCGGAGCCGCCGAGGCGACAGGTCCGGCTGGACCCTGACCTCCGGGCCGAGCGGAGCCCTCCTGCCGGCGTCAGTGTTAGTCTATTTATCAGAGTGTAAATTATCTGTATAGTTTTCTCCTTTCAGATTATTTTGTATTTGTTTAAAAAAAGTTTGTCAAAATATAAAATATAAAGAAAGCTGTGGACAGGGTTTTTAAAGAATTACAATTATCATCCCAGTGGTTTTGTTTGGTTGGGCTTTTCTTTGTAAACCAGCGCCAAGAAAGCGCAGCAAATAAACTCGTCTGCCCGCGTGCCCATCCGGGTCTGTCTGTCCCTCCCCGTCCGCCCCCTGCCTCCCTCCCGCTGAGCCCCCGCCTCTCACAGCCCCGACTCCCCTGGAGGCCCTCCTCCCCTGGCTGCTCTGCCCTCCCTGAGATCTGGGGAGACCCCCACCCCACCTGTGTGTGTCCTGCCAGCGCCTGCCTGTCCCCCGCACGGGCCCTCTGGTTGGGAAGGAACGTTCTCCATCGCCCGACTTGCCGTTTCCCATCACCACCCTGTTTCCTTTCACAGCCGTGTCTCCCCCAAAACGGCCGGACGGGAGGCGCCGGCCCCGCACTCCGGCGTGGAGGCCCAGAGCGCTCGCTGATCGGGACGCTCCGCGGGGCTGCTGGCGCCCTCCGGGCCGCCCGGCTCTCGGCCTGTCGAGGGCCCTGGCCTGACCACGGGCAGAGGGAGGATGGGCGCCACGTGACCCGCTCCCCCAGGTATTGAGTGTCTGAACCTGGGCCCTGCAGCCACTGCACAACACGTGTGTTGCCCACGGCAGCCACTGCACAGCACGTGTGTCACCCACAGCAGCCACTGCACAAGCACACGTGTGTTGCCCACAACAGCCACTGCAAAGCATGTGTCGCCCACAGCAGCCACTGCACAAGCACACGTGTCACCTGGCTGCACGGCTCAGAGGTTGAGGTCAGTCTGAACCAGGAGGTCATGGTTTGATCCTGGTCAGGGCATGTGCCCGGTTCGCAGGCTTGGTCCTCAGTGTGGGGCGTGCAGGGGGCAGCCGATCGGGGATTCTCTCTCATCACTGAGGTTCCTATCTCCCTTCCTCTCTGACGTCAATGAAAATACATTTAAAAACACGCGCATCCTGCCGAAACCGGTTTGGCTCAATGGATAGAGCGTCGGCTTGGGGACTGAAAGGTCCCAGGTTCGATTCCGGTCAAGGGCATGTACCTTGGTTGCGGGCATATCCCCGGTGGGGGGTGTGCAAGAGGCAGCTGATGGATGACTCTCTCTCATCGATGTTTCTAACTCTATCTCCCTTCCTCTCTGTACAAAAACAATAAAATATATTTAAAAACAAAACAAAACCACAAAACACGCGCATCCATGGGCGGCGGCGGTTCACAGGACGACATTCTGGTGTGACCGGTGGCCACTCGTGCTGATGGCTTATGAGGCGAAGCTCTGACCCCGGACTCGGCTGACTGCTGTCCGAGAGGCGCGCAGTCAGCGTGGCGGCGGCGCAGGGTCTGAAGGCGGCACAGGGTCCTCCGTGGTGGCAGCTCAGGCCGAGCCCGGCCCCTGTGAGCGCCTGCAGGGCTCCCCGCATAACCTCCTCCCTCGGAGGCGGCACCCTGAGGCAGGGCCTGTCCGCGGCTCTGACTCGGAGACCTCGCCCCTGGGGGGCCGCTGGCCGCAGGAGGGCTGCTCCCCTGTGCCCACCCCGGGCATCCGGCACCTGTTCGGAGCTGGCGTGGCAATCACGCTCACAGCTCCTGCTTCGCTGATGAACGCCCGTCCGATAGCCAGCGCCCTCTGCGCGGAGTGGGGGGAGACTCCATCCCGCTGTGTGTGGGGGGGGTTCCCAGCCCCCACAGTTTTGGTGGCTCGTCAGAAACCAAAAGAACTTTCCAGGGCTCGTGGCGTGGGTCCTGATGGGGTCCGTGGCCCCGCGGAGAGAGGACGGTGCCGTTATCACACCACGTCCATTTCCAGGCTCCTCTGCCCACGGGGCAGTTAGCACCGGCCAGTGAGGTTCCGCTCCCCTCCTGCTGGCCGGCCAGGTCTCCTGATACAGGACGGGAGGACAGCGCTGGTCTGTTCCCAGAAGGCCGTCCATTGGGCTCAAATAAATTCCTATAAAAAAAACTTTTGATAAGTAAATGAGCAGGAGGGCGTTTCCTTTCGGATGTGTGATGAGTGGTCACAGCCCCTGGGACCCTCCGTGGGGCTCCTGAACAGCAGGAAGACTCCCCGGGAGTGAGCAGGGGGGTGTCAGCAGGTGGGACGGTATTTGGCGACGAGGATCAATGCAGCCATGGAGATAATTCCCAACAGCTGCTGCTCAAACAGGAGGATCTGCAGGAAGGATGCTGCTCAGCAATGGCCATTTTCTCGTTTCTTGTTATAATGTGTCCTTTGTGTTACAGAACCAGGGCGTGTGCGTGTGCACATGCGTGTATGTGTGCTGGGCCAGGGAGGGATGGCCCGGCCCCCGCTGTCTGCCAGAGCCCCCCACCCCCCGGGAAGTTGTCCTGAAATGGTAGTTAACGGGGCCGTGTCTGCCGGAGACGGGTCGGCAGGGGGGGAGGGCTCTCGGGGGGGGGGCAGGGCGTGGAGGGTGAGCTGTGGGGGCCGTGGCCGCAGGAGGGAGGGGCAGGGAGGGAGCGAACGCAGGCAGCACGGCCGACAGAGCTGCGGGCAGGACGCTTCCGGCCATTCCCTCGCTGCGGCCGGCAGCGTGGACTGTGGATTTGTGCCGGACGGTCCCGTGTGCCCTGCAGCGTGTGGCTCCCCCTGGTGGCCCTCGCTTGGCCGCGGCTCCCACGCGTCTCTCCTCCCCTCCAGGCAGCGCCGGAGCCTGGGCTGCGGTGTGAAAGCCAGGGGTCCCCAGGCCCCGACCACGACCGTGGCCTCCCCTCACGTGCCTGATCCTGTGTCGACCTAGGAACCAGGAGGTCAGGGTTCGATTCCCGGTCGCGGCACAGGCCTGGGTGCGGAGTCAGTCCTCAGTGTGGGGCGTGTGGGAGGCAGCCGATCTCTCCCTCCTTCTCTGAAGCCAATAAAAGTCTATGTTGTTGGTCTGTGTTTTTTTTAAATATTTTATTGATTTTTCACAGAGAGGAAGGAAAAGGGATAGAGAGTTAGAAACATCGATGAGTGAGAATCATCGATCAGCTGCCTCCTGCACACCCCCCACCGGGGATGTGCCCGCAACCGGTACCTGCCCTAGACTGGGACCCCTCAGTCCGCAGGCTGACGCTCTATCCACTGAGTCACAACGGTTTTGGCAAAAGTCTGTTTTTAATGGCCGAGTCAGATGAGGGCAGGAGCGGAAAAGGCAGGGCCCGGCCGGCGTGAGCACCGGGCAGTCCACGCCGGGGTCCATGTGCCGCCACGCTCAGCGCCTCCAGCTCGGGCCCAGGCTGCCCGTGGCTGGAGGTGGAGACCTCGCACCCGGGCCTTTCCTCGGTGGCAGGGGTGGAGGGCTGGCCTCTGCTCACGCCCGCCACTCAGGTCGCCAGAAGGTTCTAGAAGCCCCAGAGCCGAGGGGACCCGGGGTTCTGTGGCAGTTGGAGCCGTTGAGGGAAGGAAGCCATTTCCTTTGCTGGTCTCTGGAGGAGTGCCCGTCAGTGTGCCCTGCTGGCCCCTGGGCAGCATTTGCCGCCAGCTGGTGAGGGGCCCTCGGCCGGGGGAGGGGACCCAGGCCCCAGAGGAAGAAGCCCGGCTCCTGCTCAGGCCGGTCGGGTGGGAGGGAGGTGCTGGAGCCTGTTGAAGGGCTGGGCCCAATCGGGGTGGGGTGGGGGGCTGGGGACAGTTGGGGTACGGGGTGGTGCTGGGGCTGGTCAGAGTGTGGGTACTGGGGCCAGTCGGGGTGGGGTGCTAGGGCCAGGGCTGGGGCCAGTTGGGGTGGGATGCTGGGGCCAGTCGAGGGGGCCAGGGCTGGGGCCCGTTGGGTGGTGCTGGGGCCGGTCGAGGGGGTGTGGGTGCTGGGGCCGGTCGGGGTGTGGGTGCTGGGGACAGTTGGGGTGGGGGTGCTGGGGCTGGTCGAGGGGTGTGGGTACTGGGACCAATCGGGGTGGGGGTTCTGGGACCGGTCGGGGTGGGGGTGCTGGGGCCAGTTGAGGGGGCCAGGGCTGGGCCGGTCGGGCTGGGGTGCTGGGGCCGGTCGGGCTGGGGTGCTGGGGCCAGTCGGGGTGGGGTGCTGGGGCCGGTCGGGGTGTGGGTACTGGGCCAGTCGGGGTGGGGTGCTGGGGCCGGTCGGGGTATGGGTGCTGGGGCCGGTCGGGGTGGGGTGCTGGGGCCGGTCGGGCTGGGGTGCTGGGGCCAGTCGGGGTGGGGTGCTGGGGCCGGTTGGGGTGTGGGTACTGGGCCAGTCGGGGTGGGGTGCTGGGCCCGGTCGGGGTGGGGTGCTGGGGCCGGTCGGGCTGGGGTGCTGGGGCCAGTCGGGGTGGGGTGCTGGGGCCGGTCGGGGTGGGGTGCTGGGCCAGTCGGGGTGGGGTGCTGGGGTCGATGGGGTGCTGGGGCCGGTCAGGGTGGGGTGCTGGGGTTGATGGGGGCTGGAGCCGGTCCGTGCTGCGGGCGCCGCAGGAGGCGTGCGCGATGCACATCCGTGCGCCGTCCCTTGCCAGGGCCCGGCGGAGGTAGGCCAGCATGACCATCACGCCGGACTCCCGCTTCGAGTACCTGGAGGGCATCGCCGCCCTGCTGCTCAGGTTCAAGCCGGACAAGTGGAGCAAGCTGCTGAGCGCCGAGGAGAGCCTGGTGCTGTTCACGGAGTTCTTCGACAAGCCCGACGTGCCGCTGCTGCTGCTGACGCTCAGCCCCACCGGCGCCATCGTGCCCTGCCTGGGCTTCCCCGCCGCCCTCAAGGCCAAGGGCGTCTACTTCATCAAGAAGAAGGCGGAGAACATCAACAAGAGCAACATCAAGGAGTCGCTCATCTACGGGGACATCAGCCCCGCGCCCGTGGACCAGCTCATCGCCGTGGTGGAGGAGGTGCGGCAGCGGGGGCCCTGGTGCTGTCCGCGAGGGGCCCGGGCCCACGTCCCGGCTGGGGAGCCGGCAGGAGGACAGGCCTGCCCCGAGGTGGCGGGACACCTGCCATCCAGCAGGAACTCGCTACCGCACCTGCCGGCTGAGGCTGGGGGAGGCTTTCCCGTCGGTTTTTAGAGCGAGTGGGAGGGCGGGGGAGAGACAGAGAGAGAAACATCGACGCCAGGGATGGAGCCTGCAGCCCAGGTACCTGCCCTTGACCAGAATCAAATCTGGAACCTTCTGTCTGCAGGCCCCCGCT